CTAACACATCCTGATCCACGAGTGCTTCTTCTTCGGGTGATAGCCGCACGGAACCCCACAGGCAATTGTTGATCATCTGTTGGTAAATTAGTGGGGAATTTTTCAACCCGAATGGCATACGCACCCATTGGAAGTGTCCGAATGGACAGGTAAACGCCGATATCAGCTTAGCTCTTTCAGTCATTCGGACTGCCCAAAAGCCACTTGCCATATCAAGGCTCATAAACCACATCATTCCTTCGAAACCGGTGATGAGGTCGTCGATCAGTGGTAGTGGGTAGTTCGACAATTGAATGAAACTATTCACGACTCGATAGTCGATGCACATCCGAATGTCCACTCCGTTCTTCTTGAGTACGATCACGATTGGGGATGCCCATGGCGATTCAGAGTGTTCAATCAGTGTAGCTTCCAGGAGCTTCTTCAGCAACTTATACACCTTGATTGCCAAATGCGGACCGACCGATTGGGGTCGTTGGGCGGCTGGCCTCGCGTCACCCACATCTAAATCACAGATGACGCCCCTCGCCGGAGGAGGGGCAGCATTTCCGTCACCTAAGAAGATCTTCTGGTGTCTTTTCAGGATGGCTTTCAGCTGTTTTTCTTGAGCCTCCGTGCTCTCGCCAGGTTCTCCAACGTCAGCAGCCTCGATGTCGCATTCAGGAGAGAGGTCGTCTAAGTCGGGTAGCATAACCAGCTGATCCTTCAACTGAGACATAAGCTCACTCCCTTCACGAATATAAACCGCTGGTTCCAAATCGAGTTCCTCAGCGCTCACCCGCATACACCTGGCATACGCTGCATCAAGTCTTGCAAGCGGTGTTCCGGGTGCGGCAGGAGAAGACAACTCGAAATCCTCATCTTCTGTACTCGGGTCACCCTGGAGTGCATCAAATTCAGATCCCTGAGCTATCTCGTCTGGGACTTCTCCACAGGATCCCGAACTGGCAACCCCCCCCCCGCCATCCTGGTCCAGGGTGACAGATTCCTGCGAAACTTCGACAGCCATGAGCGAACCAATCACGCTCGGGGAGTATGCCCCAGGTATAACATCCTCAGCTGTTTCCACGCCCTCGGTGTCTCTCTGCGGTTGCAATTCTTCCACAATCTTCGTAACCTGGGCTCGCTCGGGCTGCATTGGCCTCACTAGTAACTTCATTGGCCACTTATACTTGGGAACCATAACTGCAGGCGGAGCCGCATCCCGAATCATCTGTTCATAGGCTTCCTGACGCGCCCTCGCCTTCGCGGACAGTGTGTTCTCTTGGATAATCTGTTCTGCCATTCCATGTACCTTCGTAACCCAGGACGTACGAACTGTCCGATTATGGGGATATTCCCATACTCCGCAATCCG